GTCCCTAAACTTAAAACATAATTTCACAACAGGGGTGGTGACCTTATGAGAGAAAATAAGTCTTGATAATCCCCATGTGTAAATTTGCTGCTTAAGCCRTTAACCAGCTTCATTATTAGCAGCACCTTACACCCTTCATTGCTCAATTTTAACTTCAGAGCACAATGTGTGTGTTTATRTGGGGTGGCATTCCCAATACTTTGGGTTGGGGCTCCCCCTACCCAGATGATCATTCCCATTCAGTTGTTCCAACGGAAGGTCACTTCCATCCCTCATTTTATTTCTTTTGCTGCAGTTGGACTGGTTTTGTCAGCCATTTGGTGGGGAACAAAAACATATTCTCTTCTGACAATCCAAGCTCATCCCAGTGCCAGGGCCTTGTTAACATCGGGSTGCAGAAAGTGTTATGAAGCAAACATGACCATGAAGCAGAAAAACAGAAGAGTTCAATTCCATAAAGCTTCTGCTGCCCCCAGCAACTTTTTGGCTGGTGAGCTGAGCCTGTGACTGGAGAGTGGCACTTAACGGGCAGGAACAAATTACATGGACACAGATGCAACAGCACATCTGATGTGCTGAGAAAAGGAGCAGGTGGGATGAAGGTCCCAAAGCTCTGACCAAAACTGCAGCAAACAAACAGCAACAGTAGGTAGAGTGACATGTGTAAAGGGCGAGAGGCAGTGCAGTTTGACATCTTTGCCATAAGGGCTAGCTGGGCCAAGTGACAGCTCATATCCTGGCCTCTCACAGCTGCAGCTACCATATTGTACCCATTCTTCCCCTAAAATACTGCTGAGTAGTCAATATGCAAACACTGCCATTTGGATGCATGGCAAGAAGTACTATTTAGTGCATGGACTACCAAAGGATCTTTAAATACAAACTATTATTATGGGACTAATTCCCTACCCCTTGGATTGAAACCTTCTCCACGTTACACAGACTTTGATTCTACTATACAAATATATTTCCAGGATGTGCAGTGCTGCTCTCTGGCCTGTTGTAATGAAAGTGCCAATGTATAAAGTAAGGTGTTTACTTTCCTTCTGCTACTTGGGCTATAATTTCCTCTGGGAAAAGAAAAAAAAACAAAAAAAAAACCCCCACATTTCTAGAACTAGAATCTAAAGTGTTATTATGGTCACAGCCATAGCAACACTAGAACTATAAGAAATGTAGCCACCTCCACTATATGATTTAAAATAAAAACATAATTATAATTGTCTTCTGGTAGCTAGGTAGAAAATTATGCATTGCACTTGTGCCACCGGTAATTGTACACAATTTGTTCCAAATCTGTTATTCGACAAGTGTAGGAAAGCACAACCWGCGGCTGCTATGCAAGGGAGCGTCCTGGGAACTGCCATAAGGTAAATAGATGTTGGTGAGTCCCTGGCCCCAAAGGCCACTCTGCAGAAGCTGAGCAGAGTTAAACACAGCCTACTTGCCAACCTGCAGGCCACCTGCAACTTCCTCCCTCTGAAACAAACAGCAGCGCTCAGCAGACCTCAGCTGCTTGGAAAGTGTATTTATGGCCAACCTGTTTGCCCAGAAGGGTACAAAATACTGATTTGAGGCAGTTTAACAATAAAGAAATGATAATAATAGGACATTATCTTCCTCAGCACAATTCTRCAGCCAGAGAGGGCATTTTTGGATCAGCTGCCTTCTATAGGAAAAAAAGGTTGCCTCTTAGATTACAATTTACCCTGTATTACTTTGTTTACAACATTTCTCCACCCTCTATGCCACCCAGAGTGAAAGAGAGTTCATGACACTTTTGATGTGTATTTTACAAAGAGTGCCTTTTAAATAAGCCAGGGAGGTTAACTCAAGATCCTTTAATCCCAGCATATATCTTTGTTAAGGAAACATAGACCAAACCATTGAAAACCCTGGCCAGAAAGCAGGTTTGAGTAAATCCCTCACCCTAGGGAAAAAAAAAAAAAAAAAAAGGAAAAAGGAAAAAAGGGCATTTCAGACCAAATTCGGCGATGTACATTCAGATTCTTTCTGTAAAAACACCCCTTGGTGGTGGTCAAGGGGACAGTGCCCCTGCCAACAGGGGCTGTGGCTCTTGTGCCCCGGCAGCAGCCTGGCATAGTGGAACAGGATTGCATGGCCCCACAGGCTTGCAGAGCTTTGTGGGTGCCTTGGGTGACCCCCACCTTCCTTCTGCCCCTGAGAGCCTCCCAGCATCCRCCTTGCAGGGGCCGTGGGATCCTGGGGCAGCACCAGGTCTGACAGCGGAGCATCCCACACCCTCAGGCACCTCTCTGACAGCAAAACATGCAAAGATGAACAGGTATCTTTGATCAGGACTGACTGAAATTAATTAGCCTGTCCCTCTTCCCTATTTCTTTGTAATATAATGTCTATTCACTTACTTAAAGGGCACCAATATTTATGCGTGTAAGTAGGTGCTACCCTAGGTTGACGCCAACCCCAAGCCCTGGAAAAACAACCCRTTTTGGTTACAAATGACCTCCCTTGCCTCCACTGACAGCTAAATGTATGTCTTCTATTCATGAAGTGAAAATGACTGGGCTAATGGGCTGGCACTGTTGTGTCTCTGCCTGAAGAAGGATTTTTTTGATCCACCACACAGTCTGGTCCAGTGATAAGCTTCCTAAAAACCTCTGGAAACCTCAGTATTTACTCCTTCTGTGTTTGCCTCTGTTTTGGAATCATCAGTCCCAGGGAAGATCAGGGCATAACTGCATAGCAAGCTGAAATGCTTTGAATTTCTAATTTAGTTATTTTGTAATGTTTCTTTTTTAATTAAGTACCATAAAGACTGAAACGAGTAGTGGACAACAGATGTGAATAAACACCTCCTCATACAAAAGACCACCTAAACTCATGTTTAGCTTTGGGAAAAGAGGAGTGTTTTCTCTCTTTGACAAAAATGAAAAAAAATAATTGGTTTGGGGGGAATGAAAAAGGAGAGAATTTCTGGTTGTTTTTAACCAAACCCTAAAACAGAAATATCACTTTACTCACAGAGGTATTTGTTTTACRTAAAATGATCCTAAACCAGTTTTACTATAATTTATTTGTGATTTTTTTCCCCTTACATGGGCTTGTTCATTTTCCTCTGAACAATAGCAAAARGATTGAAGTAATCAATTAAAGTAAATATAAGTCACTAACCAGAACTGGATCTAGTGATCCAGCACAATCAAACTAACATTTCATAAAAGGGTTTTCAAGTCTTTTTAATCAAGACCAATTTTAAGCAATAATATTTCTTTTTTTTATTCTTTTATGGCAGCCTGAAGAAAAAAAGAAAACCAAAAACCATGGGGAAAACAGTAAATAAAACAAGCACTATATAAARTATGATGGAATAGATGATAGAGGAATTTATACTCTTTTGGAAAATGAGCTAGGCTAAAGTAAACTGCAGTCTCTACAGGCTAAAATGCTTGAATTCCTAGAAATATTTGCATGCCTAGAGYTAAGCCCTTACCCTCTGCTCTGGGTTTGGTAATTTTTCCCACCACAAACGATATGCTGTCAAGATAACATAATTAATTTTCAATATAGCTTTTGTGAATGCTGATTCAATCTTTAATTAATTAATATGTTTTAGCACTTTAATTTATATTTGACTGGAAATGCAGCTTGCTCTTTTTACATTTTGTTTTTCCTAAGTGTCACTGGTTTGCTGTGACTTATCTTTTTTGTATCAGGACACAATATCTAATGAGATTTTCCTTCCAGTAACTTTGCATTATCACTATTTTGCGGTTTTCCAGAGCTGATGGGAAGTGTTTACAGTAAAGAAATACCACCCACTCAAAGTAGCTCTTTCTGTCTGGAAGCTGTGCACTGTACCACGTTGCACACAACCCCRAAGGTTAGCAAGGGCCAGACTCCTTGAAGAGCCAGGAAACCCAGGAGCAGCTCGGGGTGATGATTTCTGGCACGTTGTCCTGCCAGGTGTGCAGCAGGGAAAAAGGTCGGAATAACTTTCTCAGGGTTGTAGATTACTCGCTGCCGTTTGCCAGAAGCATTTGCCAATGACATCACAGCTTCTCCMGTAAAGTGGATAACTGAATTAACCTGACTGCAACACAGGAAGGGCCACCCTGACAGGAAGGGCTCAGAAACACCAAACACCACATGCAGTGGGGCAGAGAACTTCAGTCTCAAAATGCAGAAACAACAACAAACGCAGACCCCAAAAATCTCAGCAAGAGTAAGACTTTTCATCCCCCTCCCTTCTCAGTCCTGGCTCAACTGGTGGCAGAACACATACCCAGGGAAAAGCAAGTAAAACCAAAATACTAAAAGCCCCAGAAAGCCTTATTTGGAGWTATGTTCTTCCCTGCTGCCAAATAACCAGTTTTAGGAATGAAGCACAAGGGTGACCCTAAATTGAGGATTTTTAGACCTACATCTGAAACAGCTGAAGGAGCCACATAGGGCAGGATAGCTCCAGGGAGGAAAAGCAGCAGAGGCAGAGAATAGACAATGTCATTTTGATATTGAGCTGATTTTTGGCAGCTACTTGTTCTAAACTGGAATGACTTTCTTTTCATACAGCACCACTGGAGYGATGGCTTTCTGATAAAKTGGGATGGCTTAAAAGGACTGAAAAATTTTGAAATTATCTGCATCTTTTACCATAGCACCTGAATCTTTTCTGCATTTGTAGGCATGCCATGGCCTAGGCTCCAATGTCCCTGGTCTGTTGCCTTGGTCACACAGGTCCCATAGGTCCCATGTGCTTTGGACAGTACTGTGCACACACCAATCAGCTGCTGAGAAAACCCTACTAACAATGGGCCTTTGCAACATCTGACTGGAACCACTCAACWCCTGAATCATTGGATCAAATGTACATCCTATATCCAGTGATGAAGAAACCCCAAGGCCCCTTGATTTCATGTAGCACTCGTGGCTCAATAAACCTCCTTTAGTAGGGAGAAAAAAAGGTTGCCAAAAGTCCGATACCCAGGACTAAACCCAGAGCTTTCAAAACAGCACTTACCGGGAGCATTTGCTTTTCTTCMCTRTTACTGTGCCTCTACTTTCAACTGRAGGTCTGTGTGTGGCCTTCATCTGAATTCAGCCTTTAAGGACGAAAAACAGAATTTTAAATATTTGTTAGTTAAGGGCCCCTGCTGTCTTTTTAAAACATAAATACGCATATCCTCTGCAGGAAAATGACAAATTCATGTTTGCATCGATGATTTTTCTTCCTGCTGTGCCCCTGCTCTTCCAGTCCTTCAAGGAATATTGTCTAAATACTCTCCAAGGGTTTTCCCTGCTCCTGGCATGCATATGAATCTCCTATTAGTGTCAGTGAGAGTTATGTCTGCATATTRTAAGGAGAATAGATAGCTAAATAATTCATTAGTCCCTACACATAAGTATATTTTCCTTGATGAACAGTTACTATCAACATTCATGGAAAGGTCCATTTCTAAATATTTTTGAAAACTAACCAAGTGTTTCAGTTATTAAGACTCTGCTTACAGTGTAAGTGATTTAAAGCAGAGAAGTGTGGGCAGCACAGATTCCTGAAGATTTCCTACAGCAGCATCAGTTACTGATGCTGACACAGGAGAAATAYGGGGGAAAAGGCAATCAATGCGGCTACATTTTTGACTTGACTTAATTCATTAATATTTGGAAACAAGTAAGTCTGGTTTGCCCCAGGGATTGGTAATAGGATACAAGCCTTTCACCTCTAGGCCAGCAGTTCAAAGCCAACTTTGGGCAGTACTGACTGAAAGTCATTACTATCTATCCGAACACTCTTCAAGAGTATATGTAAAATAAGTTGGTGGTCTCTGTTTATTTCCTAATGGCTAAGGCCCTGATTCAGCAAAGCTCTTAAGCATGTACTTAATGAGAAGCAGATGTTCAGATCCTTTTGAATTTAAACATCTGAATACAGTTAAGCACGTTCTGAGCAGCCTCAGCAGCCTGGGCAGGCTGGAGTGCACACAGAGGAAGGTTTGCTAAATGAGCCCCTCCGAGTGCCGGCCCCCCAGTTGTTTGTGAGCTCACAAACAGAGGGAACAAGCAGACCAGCCCATTTCCCCTTCCCCCAAATAATATTGCCCACATGCTGCACTGTATGCTAATAATGGCACAGCAGAAGAATGAGACTATCGGCCAGAGAAAAGTTCCCCCTTTCATTCACCCGTACTAATGAGACCAGGTGGGGAAAAAAGTGTTTGCATTGCCATTATAAAGCAGAATATAAGGCCACAGAACTGTAGTGCTTTTCTTGCTCCCCAGCCCATCAGCTTTCACGAGCATGGAATGTGCTTTAAAAAGGAGTGGAATAGGAACGTGATATTTACATAACCTTCCTGCTGCTTATTCATGCATGTGCTGTGCTAAAAAATGTGTGCGTATATGAATCCAGTCTGGAAGAATGCATAGCTCAACCACATGCAGTATTTATCTACAAGTAAAGGCTATTTCTTAAAAGTTAAAGCTTTTCAAGAAGGAGCTGGGGGGAAGTTAGTTGGGAATTTAATGATTTGAGTGCCTATTTGTGCTTGAAAATCATTAGGACTGGCATATGAGTAGAAGTTTTCAAGCACTCCTGTTAAAGCCGTCATCTCTCCTGCTAGATTAAATACCTTCTAAGATTACCAGTGGATCAGATTTGTTTTGCTTCTTTTAAAGAGAATTGTRTTCTGGGACTTTTCCACGGTGTTGCTGCTCATTGTCTTGCACGATCAAGGTCAACTGCTGTGAAATTAAAGCTAGTGTTTCAAACCGCAGCAGGCTGAGAAAACCACCATTTCAATACCGTGACTGTGTGTTAGTAAGGCAAGGAGAATTTCATCAGCTACAAGTGCTGCTCCCTGTCCCTAAAGACATTTAGCTCTACAGCCCAGTAACTCTTCCCACAAAGAAGAGATGGTCCCAGTCCTGCTGTCCTTCGGCTGAAATCAGGGAGTGAAATATATCATGGGACTGAGATCAACATCTAGAGCAGCATGTGGTAAATCTCACAGGTTTTCGCTTGAATTACAAAGAGATAGCCAGCAATCAAATTGATTCATAATGAAATGATCACACCCAATTTCCTGCAGCTTAAGCAACAGTTTTCCAAWTATCTAATCTCAGAAGATTTCTATCTCACAGTACTTTGGGTAAGGTTTTAATAAACATCCTTCACTAAAATGCATGAAACCGCTGGCTTCTATTAAATTTACCCATTGCCAGTGGAAAATCAACATAAAAAGTCATAATAATCAAATGTTTGGCAGGACTAAGAACTCCTCAGCCTGCAGAAATTCTCAGAAAACACTTCCTATAGCATGAATGCTCACTCTTCTTCTGGAACCACGAAGACAGGCTATTCCAAAAACTCCTTCTTTACTTGTTAACAAGATACTACATGCTGATCCCAGTTTTGGGACTATTTTSTGCTTTGTTAAGGCTCTCCAAGACAAGGCCTGAGCTCTTGTGTTTCAGGTGAATGCAATGAATTCCTTCACTTCTTTCTTTAATGAAATGTACATGAAATTTAGGTACCTACAGTTTTCATGGTGATAACTATATTATTATACAAACACGGTAATGTCAAACTATGAATAGTTTCAAAACAATTTACATTGGTTGTTTTTTTATTATCTCAGATTGATAAGTTTTTGTTCTTTGCAGCCTGTGATCAGCCACTGACCTTCATAAAAGACTAGCACAGCAATTAAACAGAACACAAAGTAGGCCCTGTCACCCTGGCTGAACTGGGAAACAAATCACTGTTTAGCCCAGTGATGCTACGGCTCTTCTTTCATTTTGCACAGTTCTGTACTAGGAGAGATCCATAACTTTGTGGACGGAGTTCATGTATATTTGGGATAATATTGCTGTGCTCTTAGGCCAGAGCTCTGCTTCTGCTCCTTTATTCCAGGAACTTTTTTGTTTTGTTAGTCATAGTAGCCGCAGGAAATTACAAGTACTACCAAGACACACTGATGATAAATAAAGGTTTGGAGCTGTCTTTCCTTTCCCTTTCCCGTTTATGGGAGAGCTTTATCTACTGTGACAGTAACCGCCAGGAGAATCAGCTTCATTCCAGTCCTCCAGTCCTATGTTGTATGTTCGACTTTCCTGAGAACAAAGACGAGGTCCTGGTTCATTATTCAAAAATGCTGTGACTGTGACTCAAAATAGAAAAGAAAGCCTAACAATAGGTGCTCAATGAAGGAAACACCTGCTTTTCATTTTCCTGCAGTGTTTAAATGAAGCAAATTAGATAACCTAATTGAGGAGAAAACTTTAAATCCAGGTTAGAAATCGGAGCCATGTTATGCTGCCTCAGACTGACAAGCAGGGCCAACCCGAGTTTGATTCAATTTAATTTTTGGTGGTTCTTAATTAAGTTTAAGAACTYGAATGGAAAGTATGCTATTACCTGTTACAATCCCACGATAGAATTTCCAGTGTCTCACCACAAGCGTGTCACACCAAAAMATTTTGATTACTTGTGAAACAGAACCACCCCTCGCAGTACATGAGAGTCTTGTGGGATAAAGTGTTCTCCTTGAAGGAGTGTGTGGCACAGGGTGATCCTGCAAGGAGCAGAGAGCAGGAGAGGCTCAGGCATGGTCCTGGCACAAGGTTTGGCCTGAGCAGCCGTGATGAGTGACACCCTGTGTGGCTCGATGCGCGGACACTCGCCAGGAACAGGGCTATCCACACTGTGTCATGGACACAGCCTGCAGTGAGAGATGAGCACCATCCTTGCCTCAGGGAATTCCCGCATCCTTTAACACTTACAAGTGTCTAGCAATGCCGAAATATCTCTGAGAGCTCAGCTTTTCAAACATGAGTCAATAAGACAGATAAACCCCCAGATGAAAATGCGTTCGAGCGCACGCACAGGAGCCAAGGGGCTGAAGAACAAAGGAGCCACATTTCCATGTCTTCCAAGCCAGTGCATGGACCACTGGGGAAACTGAGCTCTGCTGGTATTTCCTCTGAATTACACCCAGCCCCTACCCCAAAAGCTGCTCATCAGGCTGGGAGCAGGGAGAAGCCACATGCAGGAACTCCTCAGCTTGTGGGGCAGCACTGAGGGCCCACGGCAGCCAGTCCTGGCACCTCTGGAACTGCAGCGGTGCCATCATAGCCACCAGTGACACAGCAGCTGCACCAGTGGTGTCACCAGCAGTTTGCCCCCACAAGCCACGGGAGATCCTGCAGAACCCACGRCTCTGGGATTTGCAGTGTGGCAGGGCAAGGAAGGGTGGTGGCTGAAGCCCTGCAGAGCCAGAGGCTGATGCCACTTCCTCAGAAAGGGAGGAGAAAGGGGCAGGTTGAAGCACATCACCATGGATTGGTGCAAACCCCACAGAAACCTCAGTTCTCAGGGGCTCCATGATGCCCAGTAAGGAAGTTGCATGTTTATGGGCTAGTCCTTTACTGCTCAGTGATGTGGTTTCATGTTCTCCATATTTTCCTACCTGCTGAGTGGGGATGGTGGGAGAAAAATTACTTCAGAGATGTTAAAATTTCATGTTTTGGAGGGGACACCCCAAACAGGAAAATTTCCAACTAAAATAATACGTGTGCCTCAGTAGTTCTCCTTCCCTTTCCTTATAAAACTTGGACCATTTTCAAATTTATAATGAAATGTGGAAAAGATTTAAATGTGAGCAGTTTTGCCTTTCATTAGGAATCTCTTAAATGACATTAGCTGGGAATAACACAAGTCTCTGTGTTTTCCTCAGAAAGCCAAAATTAATTTACTGCAGATCTTTGAAAATAACACCTGTGCACTCTCCCATCTCACTCCTTTCCTTCAGAATCCTTCAAAAGTCTCCAGGCCCCAAATTCTTCTTCTGGGTGTTTTCAGCAGGATTTCTGTGACCCGCTTAGAGAGGGACCCCCCCCTTTTGAGGGTCTTTGGAGGGTTGGCTGGCATGCAGGAATTCCAGCCAAGGTGTTAAAAAAACATCAAACCAATCTTGCAAGGACAGACTTGTTCTCTGATAAGAGCCCATTTTGTTAAGCAGAAGGGCACTTAAGAAAAAGCTACTTTCCATACAAATTTTCTATTTGAACACCTAAGCACT